TCTTTCTGGTTCAGGCTGCTACAAGGTTTTATGCTCATGTCGTACAGTTTGCGTTGTGGCGACCTGCAGATCTATGCAGAAGAGATTTGGCCGACAAAAAACCTCTTGTAGGGGTCTGTGGGTCAAAAAGTCTGAGCTCACTGAATACATTGTTGATAGAGGACACTCGATAGACTGGTCCAGCATAAAACGTTTTGTGGGTTACGGAGACTTCAAATCGAAGAGTCAGATTATTGAGCCAATAGAAACTGATAAAGCAGCCAAAGTTCTAATTTGGAGGAAAAATTGTATGAAAGTGGGTATGAACATTTTATATCTGCTGGATAGGCTTAAGAAGAGGGAATAAAAAAGTAATAGTGAGCACAAAAAACCACTAAGAAAGAGAAAGAGGCTGAAACAGCCTCCAGTCTGGTTAAGGCTGCTACACCTCTCATGACACACACACAATAGACAATGTCGCCTACCTCAACATCAGTCGGCATTAAAGGATGATAAGCTAGTTAATTTGGGTAAAGAAACAGCTTTTCTTTTCTATCTACAAACCGGAGGAATTATATATGCATAAAATTTGGGTTTCAATGAATCTCTCATTTCATACTTGTTAAGCTTATTTCCATTCCAAGCGGAAATGTTTAGTGAAGAGATTCGAAGTTGGCGAATTCCTCTTAACCAGCCGTCGATTGGCTATATTAGAACATTTTTGTTGAAGCTGTCTCCGAGGCGATCCACTTCGAATCCGGTGAAAGCTTAGTACGTTTTTACCAGAATCGAAGGGGATTCCTCGGAAACAGCGACAGTAAGAATGCTCCAATAAAGCCAATCTACAGCAGGTCAAGAGGAATACGTCGTCGTCTTCGGGTGGGACCGACCTTCCAATCTCTTCACCAAATACTTCCACTCGAAATGGAATATATCAGATGCCTCTTTGAAATGGCAAGACCGGACATGAGAGGTGTATTGTTGGACAGTTCTCGAAAGTGTCCTTTCTTGCGCTGACGATGTCTTGGCTGTCACTGCAGGTACCTACGATTGCTTAGCACAAGTTCTTCTGGGTAACCAGATGATGAACCGAGGACTTATTCACACACTACAACCGTTTTCCATTCGCGGCAACCCTCCTTCAATTCCCAGTGAGGCCACATCACGAATTTCATCAAATCTTCTTTTCCTTCGAAATGGAATGAAATTGCCCGGAACCCAGTTTTTTTTATATCTTCGTTTTGTTTTACACACAACAACCATCCTCCCTGAGAGGGCGCCATGACGGACACGAACATGGCACGGTTTCACCGGTTTCAGTCAGCCCCGACACCGGTCGGCCGGAAAAATAGCCACTGATCGAGCCCCCCTTTCCTTCCACCCAACCAGAAGACTATGCAGGATTCGGGAAGTTGCCTGAGATTGTTTAAAATCACGATCACCGAGAGCCGAAGAGAGGCAAGCAGGTGTCGGAGATAGGCTGCTTCCGAGAAGAGCCGTTTGCAATACTACCCCGGTGGTGGCTTTATTCGAGGGGAGAGGGAGGGTCAGATGCGAGTTCATTTCTGGTACAGACTTCCAAGGATTCACTGTCTCCGCACTGACATCCAATTCATTATTTCCTGCATAATGTGGCAGAAGAGATGAAAAAGCCTCACCTTAACTTATGGGCACTTTTGTCTACGTCTTGCTTATCACCATCAGGCGGCCAGATTGTCTCCATAACTGGTTGCCACAAAAAATAAGCAAAGCTGTTTGCTCTACTTTAGTTTGGCTCATTAAAATTGTTAAGCTTTTTCGCTGACCAATCTAGCCACGACTTGCCCCTCAACTTGTCTCCCTCAAGCTGCTACTGCTACTAATTATAAATAGATAATATATGAAATATTAATTTAGCCCTAATCAGCCTCAGGCTGAGCTTGTGTACAGGTGCTCTCCTAACTCGCAGGGATAACTTTGGCATGAAGCCCTGTTAAGAATAAGTGAGGTAAGTGTTACTTTTGATTCTATGACGGACCTATGATTAAGGAATAGAGGCACTGGTTGTATGTCCTTTATCTTTACTTCAAGCACATTCTTCTGTAGATATATAGTCTGATAATGTGGTCTTGGCGCCACCTATAAGAAAATAAGCGGCTAAAAGCAAGAGCGCGCAGAACGAGGTACCATTTCGAATTTGCAACGTGTATATAAATATTAAGGCTGATTGCCATACTACTTATATAAACAATATAGTAGCTAGTTTTCCTAAGCTGATAAGGATAAGGACAAATAAGTGTTAGTAATTGTTGAGCTTACTTCTATTTCGAGT